GCTGTGTTGAATGGCTGCCTGAGTGAATGGCCTCACCACTGGCTCTCTCCTTGACCAGGAGGAAGCACTCAGCGCTTCTCAGCTCCAGACCTTATTAAGCATTGCCCTGGAGCCTGGTGAGTTGGGGACTGGGGTGAACCCCACGGAGCCCCCTAGGTGTGTTAATCCATGATGCTTCCAGGAGTCAGGCCACGGGAGCCCTGGACTCAGCCTGACCGTGTCTTCCCACCTGTGGGTCCTGTGGCAGGACTTGTGGCCAAAGCCACGACCACCCATAAGCCCCCCCCCCCCGCCTTCCCCTAAGGGAGGCAGGGAGTGTAGCTGCCCTGAGGGGACTTTGGAAACCCCCTGCCTGGGTTCAGATCCCTGCTCTGCTAGTTACCAGCAGTCCCATGCCTCAGTTCCGGCAGTGGGGATAGCCAGACTCCCTAGTATGCAGGAGGTACCAGGGTTGTTTTTTTTTGTTTCCTGTAGCCAGGGCCCACACCCAGACCCCTGGAGAGATCGGGCTCAGGACCTGTGAGCAGCTGCTGCGCTGTTTTGGGGTATGTGAGGGGGGCAGTGCCTGGGTAGGGAGGGTGGGGATGTTGGGGCCTCTGCCCCCCTTCTGGGGTTACGGATTTTAACCAGATGCCCCATCCCCAGAACGGACAGAGCTTCACCCTGCACCACTTCCAGGAGCTCTGGGGCCATCTCCTGGAGTGGCAGGTAAGGTTGGGGGTTTGGTGGGGCCACGTCTTCCCAGAGGGTGAGGCACTTTTACTGATCAGGACAGAGGTGCTCTGCGGGCTAGCAGGGCCCCAGGGAAGAAGGAGAACGTGGGCCACATCATACCTTGGAGGGATCTGGCTGGGATGTCCTTGCCGCATCTGGCCCCGTGAGCCCTCTAGGGGCACTAAATAGCTCAGGGACGGAAAGCACGGGTTCTGGTCCTGGCTTGAAGTCCCAGCTCCTGGTTCAGCCCCTTTCTGGCTGTGTGACCTCGGGCAAGTCACCTCCGCTCTGAGGGGCCTTTGCTAGTGGGAGGCGTTAATTCCCACTGCTCTGGCTCCCTGGGAGGAGGCAATGGTCCAAAGCCTCCCTATACTCGCTGTTGGCTGAGCCCTCCCTTGTGGGTAGCATCTTGTTCTCATAACCCTATTCTAGCTGTTACTATTATTCCCATTTTACAGAGCGAGAGAGGTAAAGCTATTGCCTAGGGCACCAAGCCATGAAGAAAGGGAGCAGGGGTGGAAACCCAGGCTGACTGGCCCTCTTCAGGGTGCATGGGGGACCCCGGGGGGGGTAGGACTGACCTATACCTCCTGGCCCAGGCCACATTCGACAAGTTTGACGAGGACGCCTCTGGAACCATGAACTCCTACGAGCTGAGGCTGGCGCTGAATGCGGCAGGTATGTTGGGGAGTGGTCCCGGGGACGGGATCTGCTCCCCCTGCTACCCTCTGAACTCTCGCAGGCCTGGCTCGCTGTTCACCCGCCGCCATCCACAAAGCCCACATCATAGTTAGTTACTGGATGCCCTTGGGAGAGGGAGTGGGGCTCCTGGAGGGGGAGGATGGGGAGAGCCTGGGAGCTGGTATCTGAGAGGCCCCGGCCCCCAGGGCACTGTGGTAAAGTGGCCTGGGTGCCCATGAGCTGGGGTTAGAATCCTGCCTCTACTGACTTACTCCCTGGGGGATCCTGGGCAGGTGAGTCCACCTCCGTGAGCCTCAGTGTAAAATGGCTACTACCCAGGGTGGCTGGGAGGAGCCTTCGGAATGCAGCCCATGGGGCTCAGCGCTCGGGGGCACGCAGCTTCTGGTGACTGCATGCGGAGGGCCCGGGCAAAGGTTTCGGAAACCTGGGTTCTTCCAGAAAGAGGTAGAACAGCCCCACCCGTCTGTGTAGCACAAAATCCTACCCAGGGGACGGAGCCAGGGAGCAAAGCTTTTCCTGGGCCCTGTTCGAAGCAAGTGAAGTAAATTCATGCACCGAGGGGCTGGGACCGGAGGGGGCTCCTAGATCCCAGCCCCCACCCCAGGGCTTCTCTGCCCCAGCCAAGGGGGGGGGCGCGGACAAGGGGAGGTGGGAGGGTTTGCCAGGCTGTGACCCAGTTTGAGAGGCAGGGAGGAGCTCCAGCGTCCAGAGACGTGCAAGCAAAGAGGCCAAGCCAGAGGGGGAAGAGTTGGAGTCAGAGTGTTGGGAGGTGTGGCACAGGGACAGAAGCGGAGTCCCAGGTGGGCAGCAGCAGAGGTTGAGAGCCGAGGGCGGATGGAAGGTTGGCACCACTTGTCAGGGTTACTGGGCACCTGGTGCGCGTTCTTGGCATTATTCTAGTCACAAGACTGAGGAAGTGCTCTTGGGCGGGGGTGTCACACTGGTGGTGCAGACAGACAAGTAGAACATCTGGGTCAGATGTCAGATGGTGACACCCGCTATGGTGGGAAGAGGAAGCAGGTGGGTACATGGTGGAGGGGGGCTGTGTGGCTGGAGGCACAGCGGTCAGGGTAGGAGCCAGGTGCCGTCTGAGCAGACCTGAAGGAAGGGGACTGAGCCTTGGAGACACAGGGGCAGGTGCAGTCTAGACAGAAGAAACAGCCAGTGCAAAGGCCCTGAGGTGAGATGCAGCATGGGCCCTGCTGGAACAGCTTCAAGGGGCCAGGTCCTGGAAATGAGGGTGGGGCCAGTGTGGCTAGAGGCCTGGGTTGGGGGGGGGGAGCAGGGGGTGAGGAGGTGGGAGGGTGGTGGTCAGAGATGAAAGATCAGGGGAGGGAGGCAGTAAAGCCCCACGAGGTCCAGCGTCAGGGTGCGTGGGGAGGCTGGAGCCAACAGCACAGGAGAGGTCACGCTGTGTACTGAGGGAGTACTGGGGAGCGGAGAGGCAGGAAGCAGGCTCCAGAGAGCCCTGGCAAGGGTGGGCAGGATCAGGGCGGGGGAGTCGGCAAGAAAAATGACCTGCTGCCACTCAGCCACGCTCGGAGGCACCCGCGTTCCCCAAACACCGCTCTGCTCCTGGCTGTGCCAGCTGATGCTGGGGACTAGGCGGTGGCCAGAAACCCTTCCCTCCCCTCCCCTCCCCCGGCTTCCGGGCCAGAGGTGGCCAGAGCCTCCAAAGACAGTGACAGCTCAGAGGGGTCAGGGTGGGGACGGGGTAGGCACAGGGAGACACAGGAGGCGCTCCGGGCTGCAGGGGGGAAGAGCAGGGGGCTCGGCGAGGGCTTCCTGAAGGGGGGCAGGGCAAGAGGAGTAGGAGTGTTCTGGGCCGAAGAAACATCACGTGCAAGGGAGGCAAGACAGAGCCCAAGGTCCAAGTGCCGGAGTGGGGGGGGCGGGTAGACGAGGTGTGGTCTGCGCAGGCCATCAGGCGGCTAAGGACAGTGGGGGCCCTGGGCAGGGGTAGCCAGGAACCAGGACCTACTAAACCAGGTGAGGGATTTCCCGAAGACCCAGGGGATCCCAGGCAGGACCCCGCAGCAGGCGGCGCAGAGAGTGGTCAGAGGAAGCTGAATTTGAGGGGGCAGCTGAGGGCTTCCTGCCCCTTCTCTGGCCAGGGTCCCCTGGCACAGACTCGACAAAGATCAGAACCGGGGCACAGATGGGTTTAAGGAGGCGGTGTAAGCCCATGACGGCGTCCGCAGAACTGTTTATCTGGACACATGGGGGAAGGAGGAGCCAGCCTGCAACCTTGAGTCTCGGAGGATTACTGGACCTCGGAGGAGGACCTGTTGTTTTTGGCTTTTGTAAAGCCTATTAAGATTTCTCATCAGAGGTGATTATTCTAAAGTTTAGAATAATCGTCTCTGATGTGAAGAAACTGACTCCATGTGGGACTGACAAAAATGTTTGGCTGCACAGAAATTCCTCCAGTGTCCATTCGCAGAAACTGGCCAGAATTTAAAGTCCTAATAAAGTGGCCACATAGTCATTATGTGACAGATGCCATTCTAAGTTTCTCTAAGGGCTTCCCACAACATTGTGGGGTCGGGGCTGTCACGTGAGAAAAGGAGCACAGAGGAGTGAAGGGAGCTGCCCCGGGCCACACAGCTGGGGTCCAAGGGGTGGGCACAGCCCCCCGCCCCCGGGGTAGCTCCGTGTCCACCCCCCCACCCCCGGGGTAGCTCTGTGTCTCCCCCTGCCCCGGGGAGCCGGGCTGGGGCTCACAGGCACCCTGCCCTAGGCTTCCACCTGAACAACCAGCTGACCCAGGCCCTCACGAGCCGCTACCGGGACAGCCGTCTGCGGGTGGACTTCGAGCGCTTTGTGTCCTGCGCAGCCCAGCTCACCTGCATCTTCCGTGAGCGATGCCCTGGCACGGGGACCCCGCGGGGGGGGGGGCCCTCCCTCCCTCCCTCCCACGAGCCACAGGGGGTGCTCAACCTGCCTGCTCTGCGCAGGTCACTGCAGCCGGCATGTGGAAGGAGGCGAGGGGGTCGTCTGCCTGACCCGCAGACAGGTGAGCCTGGGCTGGGGGTGAGGGGGCGGCTCGGGGGGGGGGCCAAGCAGGAGTCCCAGGAGACCCCTGCCTCAAGCCAGCCATCTTCTTTCCCCCAGTGGATGGAGCTGGCCACCTTCCTCTAGAATCTCGCTGCATGGAACACCTGTGGCCAGAGGCCGAAGCATGCCAGGAGGCCTAGCTTTCTCCTCTCCCAGCCGGGACTGGGGTTTATTCCACAGGGAGGGGGGTCTGAGCACCAGCACACCCTCCGCCTCTCTGCCTGGCACGTGGGGCGCTGTCTGGCCCCAGCACTCAGCAGCGGGGTGAGGCCAGGCAGGTCCCTGCACACCTCCCTGCTTTGCCCTCATCTGTAAGCAGGGACGGTCACAGCAGTGTTCTTGTGCAGGCCCCACGCGTCAGCACCGGGGACAGGGCCGGGCCTAGAGCAGGTCCCCAGTGGCACTCATGTTTACACACTCACGGGGACAGGGGTCTCCCATGCCCAGCCTTGCTCTGGGAAGAGGTTCTCCCGTGGCTCTCCTAAGATGCGGAGAACAGGAAAGAGAAAGAGAGAACACGGTAGGAATCCTTCTTAAAAATATTACATGTTTTATTATCCTGTCCCCAGAAGGGTGGTTTATCCAGAAACCGAGAAAAAAAAATAAATCAGAATAAACTCAAAAAAGGGGGGGGGAGGGGAAGGGAGCAAAACCCATCAACTAACAGGCAGCCAGGCCAGCAGCCCACCCTCCACCTCAGGAGGGTCCCCAGAGACCCATGCCCAACGACAGACAACAGAGAAAAATCAGTAAGGGGCTGGGGGGAGGGCAGCAAATCAGCTATGTCTTCATTATGAGAGCAAGAGGCAGCGAGGATATGTTGCTAGGTGAATATATATTTATATAATAAATCCGTAAGTTAATAAAGTAAATAGTAATTCTCTGAAAGTTTTTAATTCCTTTTTTTATAGTTTTTTTTTTTTTTGTGGATTTTTTGTTTTTGTTTTGTGGTTTTTTTTTGTTTTTTGGTCCTTAGAAAATCAATCTGAGAGATACACATGTCCGGATAAAGCAAGATGGGGGGCTGGCTGGGGATGAGAGGCTGGTCTGCCCAACCCTACTCCTCTGATGCAGAAAAAGGGGGTGCTGAGTTGCATGCCCCCATCTCCTGGCAATCGCAAGTTGCGGCGGCGGAGGCGGGGGGAGAGGGAAGAAGGGAAGGGGCGGGGTCCTCTTTCCGGTCGGGCACTGTGTCGCCCTCTGCTGGGCCCATGGCAGGCCCGGGCGGTTCCTGGACAAGGCACATAGGGCTTTGGCCTGGATGTGAGAGGCCTTGAAGGGACCTCGTGGGGGGGCGGGGGAGGGGGGCGGGCAAAGGAGGGATGAGGTGGGGAGGGCATTCCTAGGACCTGGAGGTGACCTGTTTCGCTGTGGGAATCCACTGTCCCCTCCACAGAGTTAAAAAACAAAACAACACATCATACATATTTACCAGACCAGAAGCGCTGACCCCGAGCATCTCCCTCACCCCTATCCAGGGGGAGGGGGCCGACTGACGAAGAGAGAGGAGAGAGCCTGCCCCAGCCCCTCCCTGCCCACCCCACCCCCCAGAAAAGACCGACAGAGTGCTTTGCATAGATACAGAGTCAGAGGAACAAGACCTGGGAGGCCCCCGCGGCGGGGAGAAGGGCAGAGGGCTCCCCCAGCCCCTCCTGGAGGCTGTGAGGAGGGGGCGTGTGGTCAGGCTTTCTCGGGGGGGGGGGGGTGGGCCCTCACAGGTCACTCTCGCCGTACAGGGCTGTCGAGAAGGACTTGTAGTCGAGGGCGCCGGGCACGGCATCAGGGCCCTGGTAGGGCGCCATGCGAGCGATGCAGTACTCGGCCTGGTCCGGGGGCAGCTCTCTCCGCAGCTCCTCGGCCGTGATGAAGTTCTGGGGGCGGCAGGGTGGGACTTTGGGCCACCCCCACCCCCACCCGCCCAGTCCTGGCTGCAAGGGCTCCTCCCTGTTGCCCCACCCCGGGATGCCTCTGAGGTACCCTGCTTACCTTGTCCCCAGCCAGGACCTTGAAGGAGGCGATAACCTGGTCGGCCGTGTCTGTGTCCGTGGTCTCCCTGGACATGAAGTCAATGAAGGCTTGGAAGGTCACGAGGCCGCTGTGGTTGGGGTCAACCACGCTCATGATGCGGTTGAACTCGGCATCACCCTGCGAGGAGGCGGGGGGTGGGGCGGGGGACAGGCGGCATTTGAGCAGGGCAGGATGGCCGGCCGGGCCGGGCCCGCAGAACGGAGCCAGGAGAGCAGGGCCCGGCCCCGGGGGGCACACGCCTCCAGGGCTTTAGGCTTCCCCAGGCCCAGGGCCCCACTTGCCCCGACTGGGGATGTGCTCCCTCTGCTCCTCCCCGCCCCCGTTTCTGGGAAGTGGGGAGCTGGGGAATGGATCAGACAGGTCTACCGCTCCTCAGCCCTAGGCTCACGACTTAGCTCTGGAGGGTGGGGAAGAAAGAAAGAGAGAAAGAGAAAGAGAAAGGGTAGGGAGCCAGAGGCCTGACCTCCTCTCTCAGGAGACTTCCAGGAAAGGAGGTGGGTGGCGGGGGGGGGGGTCATCGGAGAGACCCCTGCCCAGCAGAAGCAGCACAGGTGGAGGAGGAGGGGGCACGGCTGCGCTGCTCTGCTGGGGGAGTATCCCCGAGGAGGCGGGTGAGGAGGAGGGGGGAGGCTGCGCGAGGAGGGGGGGGAGGAGAGGCCCAGCAGCGAGGGGGAGGCAGAGGCTGCATACCAGGCTGTATCCTGTGGAGATAAGCAGAGCCCTGAAGTCATCGGAGTCCATGCTGCCTGTCTGCTTCTGCTCGAGGACGCAGGGACAGCAGAGGAGACCAGGCCCAGAGAAGGCAAGAGGGGCCGCCCCATGTGCACAGCAGGGAGACAGGACAGTGGCGGGAGCCGGGGAGACAGAGGCGGCCCCGGGAGACCGGGTAAGGGGGAAGGTGTCCAGAGAGACACAGGGCAGGGAGGAGGCAAGAGAGCCAGTGGAATGGCACACACATGGCGAGGGGTGGGATGGCGAGAGGGAGGGGAGACAGAGAGAAGGAGGGAGAGAGAGAAGAGCAGTTAATGCCACAGTCCGCTGGGGCCCAGGGGGGCGCATACCTGCCGGTCATTCTCCACGTCGTAGCCCAGGCTGATGAGGCAGGCCTTGAACTCCTCCGGCCCCAGCGCCCCGCCGTGGTCCTGCCGGGCGTCCGAAGGCAGGTGTGTGCGAGGGGTGGCACGGAGACCAGGCCGGCGCGGAGACGGGGGGAGAGGGGCCGGGGTCACATGCAGAGGGCGGGGGGGGGGGGACACACCGGGGGGGAGACAGTTAGCGGTGACACGGACGAGGTGATGGCTAGGGACGGTGAGCAGGGCAAGGGGCACGGCGGCCTGGAGGGTGGTCAGAGGCCTGCGCCGCGCCTCGGCCAGAGCAGGGCAGGGAGCTCTCCTTGCCTCCAGGATTTGGGGGGAGAGGAGGTTACACTCCGGCCTATCTGGGACAGCAGGGTCCCTGCGTGACAGTGTGGAGCTGAGCGCGCACCCTCCCACCCACAGCGGGCAGGCAGATGGCGCGCCGGGCCCAGCAGGGCAGGGTGGGGGGGACCGCAGCAAACTCAGGTGCTCAGGGCCTTCCCAGGGGGCCTGCCAGACCAGATCCGGCGTTCTGAATCTTTACAACGCTCCACGTACGCACGGGCCAGATGCACGGGCAGGTCGCACATCTCGGGTTTGCTGGGACTCAGGCTGTCCCAGAGTCTCGTCAGCAGGCTGGCGAGGACATACGGCCCCAGAGGCGGGACTTGGACCCCACCCCCACTTTCTCCTCCTGAGGGAAAGTGCCCAGGCTGTGGGTCGAGGGATGCACCTCTGCACCCGCTTCGGTGGCTGGGGCACTGCCAGCCCGGGGAGTGGTGGCCAATACTCAGCACTGTGAGGTGGACGGACAGATGCAAGGACGGAGGGGCAGGGTGGGACGGTGACAGTGGGGAGGGAAGACGCCAGGGGCAGAGGGAGCTGCTCACCTTGTCAAAGTGGTTGAAGGACGCCCGGAACTCCTGCATCTGCTCCTGGCTGATGCCCTTGGCATCGCGGGTGAGGATCTGGTTCTCGACCTCATTGATGGTGCGGGCGATCGTGGTGAGCAGCTGCTCCCAGCCCACGCGGATGTGCTGGGGGCGGAGCAAGGGCATGAGCATGGGCCGGGCCGGTGCAGGGACCCCCGCTGCCGCCGCCAACCAGAGACTTGGAGCCCGGCTCTCTTTGCCCGGGGTGGGCATATGGCCTGGAGGTGGGCTAGCCCTGACTCTCTCCCAAACGCCAACCCAGCCCCACACGGGGACAGCGGCATGGCCCCTCCCCACTGCTTCTGCCCAGCAGCGGGGTGACGTCATGTCTGTGTCTGCTGACGGAAGCAGCTGAGGGCCGGCCCAGTCCATGCGCCGCACCCACGCGGGAACCACAGAAATATAGGGGGCAATGTTTAACCAGCTCTTGGCGGGGACGGGGTGGGACAACCCGGGTTTGTCTGTGGTATCAGCACACTTGCAGGGCGTCAAGCGTCACCGTGGACGAGGTCAGGCTGCCCAAAGGGTGACAACCAGCCCCGACACGTCGCCACGGCAAGTAGGTGCCCGTGCTGATCTGTGTCCTCCAGCCAGGCCGTCGCCACTGAGCCCACAGTGGGCAGGGGCCACCCTCCCTCCCAGCTCTCCCAGGAGTGTGTCCTGACCCTGTGCTGTGTTGGTAAGGGAAGAAACGGTGGGAAAACCGTGATTTTTAAAAAATGTGTATACACTTAATCTAGTCTTTTTGGTCAGAGGGACACAGAGGAGAGAGAAAGTGGCAGACACCTTTTCTACCAGGCAAAACCTGTCTGGCCTAGAGAGGCCGGGCCTGTGCTGCCACAGGGACCCTCCGGCGCGGGCAGGAGGGGAGGCTGGGGGCGCCAGGTGGGCCTACCTCCATGGTGTAGTTGGTGTGCTTGTTGTCGAAGATGAGGGCCTCCTGGATGAGCTGGTGCTGCTGCTCGAGCAGGTCGAGGTTTGGCTTATAGTCCACGATGCTGCGCTCGTAGCGCTTGAGGTGGCTCAGCTGGTCCTCCAGGGTCCCGTTCATCTCGATGGAGATGCGCCCGATCTCCTGCATGGAAGGCATGGGCCGCTGGCTGGGGAAGGCCTCTTGCTGCCATCCCCCCACCTCCGCCCCCCCGCCTGCCCAGAAGCCTGCTGTTTGCGGACTGTCCCCTCCAGGCCCCCCTCCACTGTACAAGCTGCCGGGTGGGGAGGGGGAAGGGGGGTAGCGTCTAGGCTGAGGCCGGTGAGGCCTAACCTCAGTGCACACCCCAGACTCCCTGTGAGGCCCAGGACGGCCACAGGCCTGGAAACTGAGGCGCAAACACATCAACTCCTCACAGCGGGAGGCAGGGTCAGGCTCCAGACCCAGGCCTGGCTGGCTTCAGAATCTATGCTCCTGAGTACGAGTACCCGAAGCGTGGGTTCCCAGGGTGGCCGTGCAGCTCAGCCAGCCCAGAGCCCCACCCCGGCCTGGTGCCTGGCACGTAGTGAGCACTCTGTGAGGTGCGCCCAGGGCTGCAATCAGCATCCCTGCAAACTTTCCGGGGCTGGGTCCCCAGGCTCACTGGTGAGCCTGCTGGAAGGGTCTGCACTTGGGCCACCCTGGTCCCAGCAACACCAGGGCTTGCCGTGGGGCTGCCACAGAGCAGTGCCCAAAGCATTTGCCGGGGCAATGAAAAGACTGTTTCCATCCCTTTTTAGGCATGAGAAAACCCAGGAACAGAAGCTAAACCGTACCTGACCTCCTGGTCAGCGGGCAAGGCAGAGCCGAGACTCAAACCTTCTCCTGACTCCTCCACCCTGTTTCCCTCTGGAGGGCGCTGCCACTTCCATCAACACAGTCACAGACCCTCCCACTCCCAGGAGGCGGTCGGCCTCCTGCTCACGGCAGCTCCTTCTCCACTCTGCCCCAAGACACTCTCCTGGGCTCCGCCAGGCTGGGGCAACGGGCCCTCACCTCCATCTTCGTCTGGATCCAGGGCCCCACGATGTTGGCCTGGCTGGCGAACTGGCGGCGGAGGTGCTCGTTGGACTGCTGCTTGCTCTGCTCCTCCAGGAGGGCATGGTCCCGCTTGGGCACCAGCTGCTGCACCTGGAGGGGCCGGGGGTGGTGGTGAACAACGGCGGTCAGGTGGTAGCCCCTTGCCCGGCCGTCCCGGCCTCGGCCCCGCCGCCGAGCCCACCTACCTTCTCCCACTTGGAGTTGATGATCTGCGGGGTGACCGTGGTGTAGGGGTTGCTGCCCGACAGTTTGATGTGGTTGCTCTCGGCGATCCTCTGGGCCTCCTTGTGGATGGCCAGGATGGCCTCGCGCTCCCTGTCGGCGTCCGGCAGCGTTGACTTGAACTGGTCATGGGCTGAAATCAGGCCCTGGAAGGAGGAGGCGGCGTGAAGGGCAGCCCAGGCCCACAGTGGTCCCACAGGCAGCGCGGGTGGGAGCGGACCTCGATCTCCTCGATCGTGTGGACGATGAACATGTCCTGGAGGTCCTCCATGGCGCTCTCCATCCAGTTGTTGAAGGGCGCTGCCCGCTTGGCATACTCCAGGTGCAGCTGGTCGATGGTCTCCAGCTGCTTCTCCGTTTTCTGGTGCGTGTGGGCAGGGATGGGACCGAGTGGGGAGGTCAGTCGGCGAGCAGGTGGTTGGCGGTCCAGGGCTGGGTCGGGGGAAGCCAGGGGCTCCCGGTGTCGCCCGCCCCCCACCTGCCCCCAGGGGCACAGGGCTCCGCAGGTGACGTCACCTCCCCCCCCCTCACCTCCAGAGCTTCCCTGCGACTCTGGGTCAGAGAGCCAAGGGCGTCCCACTGGTCGCAGATCTTCTGGCAGCGGGTGTTGACGTTGTGCGAGTCGTAGTAGTCCAGCTCACTGCGGGCGGGGCATGTGGCCATGAGACCCGGCGGGGGGGGGGGCGCGGGCAAGGCTGCGCTGGGTGCCCCTGGTGCCAGGTCACCAGTCCTCCATCACCTCCCCCCCCCCAAGCCCGCACCCTCCCCAAGGCAGGAGGAACGCAGACGGAGGGGTCACAGAGGGGCGGGAGGGGGGTCCCTGCTGACTACCTTTGAGAATCGCTGTCACGACATGCGAACGCAGGGACCCCCACAGTGCAGCCCCCAACCATACCTGTGTCTGGACTGCTTCTGTCACCCAAAGGTCCAGCAGAGCACACTGGCTAAACAATGGGCTCCCGGGCCAAGTTCCCTCGGCCTGAATCCTGACTGTGATTCTGTGCTCGTGTGACCCCAGGTGCATGAATTCTCTATTCTGGAGACCTCGGTTTTCCCCTCTGTGAAATAGGCATGGGATTATTGTGGAGCTCCAGTTACTGAGTGCACATGAAGTGCTGAGAGCAGTCCTTGGGCCTCAGTGCGTAGATGCACCAACAGCGATTAAAAGGATTTATTTTAATGAACACAAAGAAAAAATGAGTAGCGAACCTGCAATGTCATTCTAAGCAATTAATACTACGTCTAAGACAGAAGTGGGCGATGCAGTAGTTCCTGGCCCCTCCCGCCCCTACTTTCCTCCCGTCTGGCCCAGGATTCCTTCCTCCTGGGCTCCAGACACTGGATTCTCTTAGCAGGAGGTTTCCAGGGAGTCGAGGTACAAGCGGAACCTTGGGGGCCTGGGGAGGGATGGGGAGCAGGGAACAATTCTGGGAGGAACAGGACATGGGGGATGGGGCCGGGGACCATGGCTGGGCTCCACAGAGGGGCCACGCAGCCTGAGCTCCATTCCTGGCTCAGCTACCCCCCAGCAGTGTGACCGTGGGCAAGCCTCTTGGACGCCCTGAGCCTCAGTTCCCCTTCCATAACATGGGGTTGCTGGGCGATTAAAGGAGCCAGTACGTGTGGAGCACTGAGTGCTCTGAGCTTTTGTTGTTGCTCTTCACCAACACTCAGCCGGGCTCTCTACTCAGGCTCATCCTGGCCAGCACCTGGCCCTCTGACTCATCTTTGGGGGAACAGAATGCACCCGCAAACCACCCTTCCTTCCTCCTGCAGCACCACTGTCCAGAAAAGCTGCCTGAGCAGCCACCTGCTCTCACTCCAGACAGCGGGTGCTCCACCTCTGTTCCCGGTGCCTGGGAGGCAGGCTGGCCAAGGACCTACTCCAAGCCTGTTTCCTATCAGCGTCCAGGGCCTTGCCTGTCAGTGGCGGAACACGCCCACATCCCACCTCCCACAACTGCTAGGGACACCTGCGCGTGTGACCTCACTCTCCTCCACCTGGGCGTGCCAGGCCCTGAGGCTCAAGCCTACAAGAGGCTGCGAGACCCCAGGGGACACTGTCTTCCCATGACCGTGAGGACCCCCCAGGTAAGCAGTTGAGCACTTCTGCCTCTGGCTGAGCAAACGGGGACCCCCAAAGCGACTGGGCAGTGCAGAGGGAGTGAGTCAGGGAGGAGAAACGGCCCTGCCTGGCGTGGGGCTCCACCAGGCACTGCAGCTGGGCCCCAGCCTTGTAGAAACAAGCAGAACTTTAGGGATGACTGGCAGGGTGGGGGGTGTCTGTGGAAAGGGCAGCTCCAGCCAAGTATCCTATTTTTGAGCAGATGGCTATTTTGGGAGCCATGCCGCCCCTCCAGGCCCTGTGGATTTTCCATGAAGTAATGGCCTAGGCCTCCCACTCCCTGGGCCCTCCCTGCTGCTGGCCACTGTGCCGGCGGAATAAGGCCCCATTCACTGGCTCTGGAGGTTCGGTGTACTAACTGTGTGCGCAAGTTTATCTGACTGGGGTGGGAAAGGGAGGGCGAAGAAGCCGGCTGCCTGGAAGCTCACACAATAAGTGTATTCTGAGCAAGCGAGGGAAGGGGCCGGGCAGAACAATGGGCTCTCTGTGCAGCCCAATCCCCTCAGGGAGGAGCGGGTGGGAGCAGCGGGGGCTAGGCCGCCCCCCTACATCAGGGGGCCAGGGGGTCTCTCCTTGGTGTGGCAGGCAAAAGGTAGAGCCCCAGGGACCTCTACAGCCTAAGGTATCAGGAAAGGGGTCAGAGACCCCCCCCCTTCTGCCTGAGAAGAGAGATCCCACTCCGTTTCTCATCTGGGGGGCAAAAGGGATCATCCCGTAAGGCCCCTCCCTGGCATCTGAAAGGAGACGGGGGTGGGGGGACGGAGGGGGCGGGACGCCCCCACCCCTGGGCAGGGGCACCACGACCCCTCACATACTTGAGCTCCTGAGCAATCGCTGCGATCTGCTCCACGCGGTCCTGGTGTGCAGCCAGGTCGCTCTCAAAGGCCTCGTGCTTGCGAATGAGGGCTTTGATATCTGACAGGGTGGCTGTCTCATAGTCCCGCTGTTTCAGCATGGCCTCCTTCCCTGGGGGCGGGCAGAGGGCAGGAGGTGTTTAGACAACAGCGCAACGGGAGTCCAGGGGGCTGTCCAACCCTAGAAAATGGGATTCAGACCCCACATCCTGCCTCACCGAGGATGGTGCCATGGAGACTAGAAATTTCCAGAGCCTTTCTCCTTGCCTTTTCAAGGGATCTCTAAGCCCAACTATATCCTGGATGGAGCTAGGAGACACTGTGGGACTAGGGGGCCTGAGACCGATACCCAATTCAACCTGTGTGTTCTAAACTTAGAGCCCTCTATCAGTGGACAGTAAGGACTGGAATGTGCCACCGCTGGAAAGGTAGACACCCATCCCTGGAGGGCATCTGGGGTTGCAGCCCATGCCTCGGCAGGGTGGGCGCAGGGGGAGAGTTCCAGTCAGAGTTTTCCACGGGCCCAACCCCTTGTGCCTGCCTCCCCGGCACTGGGGGGCCAGGCTCCCTCGGGGTGGGGTCCTGCCACACACCTCCGTGTCCTATGCCATCCTACGGGCCTACTATGTGCACTGAGGTGGGGCCCATTGTCAGGTCCTTTGAAGGAGGAGAGGCACACTATTATTAGTTCTGGAGCCTGGCTAATTATATACCCCAGGCCAGAAGCTCCAAGAAGCCCTGTAACCATGGGGAGGTACTGCAGACAACAGGGCGGGGAAAGGCCAGTCTGCGAAGGTGGCTGGGACCCCTGGCTCCTAAAGGTGCTCTGCTTCAGGTAAGCCACCTTGGGGGCTACCCTTGGGGTGGCAGCTCAGAGACCCACTCCTCAGCTTGGCACCAGAGAATGTGACCAACAGCTACCTGCCTGGGGAGGCATGCGGCCTTTCCCCAGCTGTTGCCTCATCTGTAAAGCACGGCCCAGGCCAGCTCCTGGTCTCAAGTCTCAGGCAGGGTGGGCACAGAGCTAGTACCATGAGAATCTCATCCGCCCTGAGGACAGGGCCTGGCATGGGTGGGCAGGAGGCAGCAGCCTGGGAGAGAGGCTCCACGGGCCTGCCGCCCCAGCCCTGGGGCAGAAGGCTTAACCACAAAGGCAAGCTTGCAATTCCCTTCACCAAATTGCTTTCTCCCAAGGGTGGGAACCCGAAATAGTAGGTTACCACTTCTCTGCCTCAGCAGGGTTTCAGCAAGGGAGCTGGCAAGGGGGGGCCCTGGGGAGAGTCAGGAGGAGCGGCCCGTGGCCACAGACGCCTTGGATTCAGGCCAAGGGGCAGCCACAGTGGGGATGCAGAGGCTCGTCTTCATTTTTCCTCCCTGACAGTCCAAAACCCTCCGCACAGCATCCACATGGACCCTCGCCCCTGCGAGCTGTGGGGGATGGTGAAGGAGGCTTGGAATATGGTGGCTCAGCCCTCTCTCTAGGCCCACCCCTCCAGAGAAAGGACGCTGCTGGCATGGGATCCCAGGAGTGTAGAGGGGGCCAGGAGCTCAGTCTGTCCTCCTGTGTTACATAATTGGGTGGTTCAGAGGACAGAAGCTTCAGGTCTTGGGAACGAGAGTGGGCAAGCCTGCCTGGGGGCTCCAGGCTGACGTGAAGGGCAAGGCCAGATGCCAAAGTGCCTGCAGGCAGCAGGGGTGCGACAGGGGCGTGTGGAGGCCACTGAACCAGTTGGGCTCTGGCTACACACTGAGCCAACTTCTCCTGAACGCCTGTGGGGGAAGGCCAGCGCCAGTCATTCCCAGGGGAAGAACTCTGGGGGGCCATCACACCCACGCCCCTCAGCCTCAGGACACCACCCCCTGGGGCCCCCTGCAGCTCCAGGTGATGGACCGAAAAGCTGACGACATGGGCCAAGAACCCGACGAGGGAAGCGCCCGGGGATGAGGCCCAGGGTCCGTGGAAGGACAGGCACAGATGAGGACGGGAGGAGACTGCTGAGTCCAGGCGCGGGGTACGGACGCGGTAAAATCCACTTACATGCCCAAGGGCCCTCTGACGAGACGGACGCTCTGACGAGGCTCCCTGGGCCGGGGCCAGCCCCCCACCCCCAGAAACTACTGGGCTCAGGGAAGAGCCGAATGAACGAGCGAATGAACTAAATGGCAGCCCCCCCTCCCCCCCCCGCCTCCAGCAAGGACACCCTGCCGCAAGGTGGAGGCGCACCGCCCGGCCCCAGCACACTGCTGAGCCGACTTCACCGCCTCGTCCACATGCTCTCCCCAGCAGAGGAGGGACTAGGTGTCACTCTGGGTGCCGGAAAACAGCGGCCTGCACTAACGTGACGAGGGTGGGTGTGAGCGGCACTGCCGCCAGCGACACAGGGGATTTGGCCCCGGGGGCTGCGGGTCCTGCAGGTGGTGTGTTGGCAGGCCGCCAGGGCTGGGGCCTCTCGGTAGATCTCGGCATCTGGCCCGGGCCGGGGCTGCCTGTCCAGCAGCGAGAGGGACCCCCAGAGGCTCATTGAGGACCTGGTGGGGGACTGTGGGGTGGAAGGACACCACCACACTGAGCCCCACAAGGAAGGCTGAACTCAGCCAGGCACCGTTGGGGAGGCGGCCACAGGTGGGTGGGCTCGTGCTTTTCCCAGGCACCGGCCCATTTCTGAAGGCTTTCAGCACCCCTGGGATGTGGAATCTCAGCCATGGTGTGGGTCCTGACCGAGGGCCAGGGACGTGATGAGAAGGGAGCAGGCAGCTGCAGGGCTGCTGAGAAACAGGAGGCACCACTAGTTGCCCTTCTGGGAGAAGCCAACCTTCTGGGGGCCCAGGCCCCTGAAGGGGAGAAATCGCTCCCGGGGCATGCGCCGGTGGTCAGCGAGCACCCCATCTGCAGGCCAGGCAGCTGAACCAGGAGGCGGCTGCCCAACCTTGCCCATAAGGACCGTGCCCAGGCACACAGGCCCATCCAGCACGGGCTCTCCTGTGTCAAGTCCACGGTCACAAAGGGTACGGGAGTGGGAAGGCGGGCGGCATATCTGAACACAGGCTTCCAGGGATGGGAGAGCCCGCCCTGCACCCCCCACCACCCCCGCCGCCTTGACCTGGCAGGAGCACCATCCTCGGGGAAACCTCGGCAGAGTGGGGAGGGACAAGAGTTCCCTTCTGGCTGGAACTGGGATGAGGTTCGGCTGCGTTCCTGGAGGACAGCCTCGGCCACCAGGCAGGGGCCTGACTGTGAGTAGTCTCGGAGACTAGAGCAGACGGGGTAGCTCAGCTCCCAAGTGTTCCTTCTGCCTGGGGCTGGGGGGACCCGGAGCCACGTTTCTGACAGACATGTCCCCAAGCAGCAGGAAAGGGGGTCTGACAAACAGACGCAACAACACAGGGGGGGCTGTGTAGGCACACACGTGCTCGGGCGTGCGAGAGAGAAGCAGGCTGAGGGGGCCGGAGGACCATACCGTCGGTCCAGGCCTCGTGGATGGAGGCCTTCTGCCGGAACTTCTCTGCCAGGTGGTCGAGGCGCTCCAGCCTGCGGATCTCGTTCAGCAGCCACTCTTCATAGCCCTTCTCGGCCTGCTCCAGGTGCTGCCAGCCGTTGTTGATGTCCTGTGGGGACAGAGACGACCGGCTCACAAAGGGGAGCTGGGCCCGCTGGCAGGGCGATGCCTCCCTGAGGGTCACTGATGGGAAGGCAGGTGGTGGAAACGGCTGGGGTCATGTCCAGCCCCTTCTTTGCTAGATCCATGTGCCTGGACGGGGCCCAGCACATGGCGGGTGCGATCCGTTCTGTAAATGAGTAAGTGACGATGAAGGAATGCCATCAACATCGCTACGGGAGCCAGGTGACTGTGAAGACCATCCCTCTCCTGAAAAGAGGCCTTGAGCACTTGGAGGTCGTGGAATCACGGGGATCCAAGGATCCAAATTCAAACGTCACACAAAATAAGGTGTGGTTTGTGGACGGATGTAAAACTCTAGGGTGTGATGGCGGGAGGAGGGACGTGGCGAGTCAAGTGTACCCCCTACCACCCCTCCCCCCACAGGCTGGCTGGGGAGGCGGGCCACACGTCCTGGGCCCTGGCTGGCTGGCCCCGGGCACTCACCGAGACCATCTTGCCCTCAGAGGGCATGAAGGCGGGCCGGTTGCTGAGGCGTAGCTTCGTCTGCAGCGTGTTGAAGTTGATCTCCAGCTGGCACTTCTCCTGCACCTTGGGTGGCTTGTGGACGCGCCGGTAGTCCCGGAAGTCCTCCAGCTTCTGCTGCATCTCCTGGATGGTCTTCTGCGGCACCCGATCCTCCAGCCAGGGGATGGTGCGCCGGATCCACTCCAGGAGCTGCAGGCCCAGCAGAAGCCTCAGGGCACTGGGGGGGCCTGGCCCCGCTCATGGGCACGAGGAATACGGGTTTTCCAGCCCCCGCCCCCAGGGATCAGCCCTGCTCCCCAGCCTGACTTCTCCAGGATGCCCACTGGGATCCTATGGCTGGGAGCTACGGGGATGTGTGCACCCCTCTGAACCACTGTGTTCTCCGGTTATTTCCTGTTCATGCCTTTGCTCCTGGGCCTCCTTCTCTTATCGAAGCGAGGCGGCCTCGACTCAAGCACCCCTCCCATCATATCCCACCACACGACCACCCCCCCCATTGCCATGTTCACTGAGCTTGGCACTGAGAGAGACATCTCGCTGCTTCCTTGTTCAAGGGCTGTAAGCGCCTCCAGGGCAGAGCCCACAGCACGCCGGGCTCATTCTAAGGAGGCCAGCATGCCAGGCACAGGGCTTGGGATGGAAACAGTTTGACAGTAAAATTGGGGGGGGAGGGATAAAGGTGACATTTTTATGAGCCACTCATATCTGTGAAAGAGGACAGGTGCAAACAAGCAAACAAACTAGACATTCTAGAACAATCCTTGGAAAGGAAAATCAGTTCTTGTTCAGCACAGATATGCTTGAAAAAGTGGTTCCCAAATGCCAAACTCTGGCAAAATGGGAAAACCAAGTAAAAAGGTATCTATGTGCCTTTACATCTTGATGCATGGTGCCAGTGGCCCTTTCCTAGGAAGCAACGGGGTTCCAAGAGAGAACCTTTTAACTTTTTCTCGGTGTTAGGATGGTGGATGGTGGTAACCGATGGAAGCTTTTTAATTTTTGACAATTTTTAAGTAGTCTCTACCCCCAACGTGGGACTCGAACTCACAACCCCGAGATCAAGAGTCGCACACCTCAATGACTGAGCCAACCAGGTGCCCCGCAAGCTTTTTCTTTTAAAAAATATCCTTAACTTAAAAAAAAAAAAATTCTTAACTTGTCACTACAGGTTGGCTGTCAACTACTTTCCCAAATATTCCTGGTTCATGACATTCCGAAGTCTGGGAACCGCTAGTCTCGAAGAGCGGTCAAACTACTGCTCTCCAGGAGCTTCAACGTTTTTGTGTTTTTTTTTTTCCCCCAAATAGAAGTTTTTTAAATAAAGGAGGGAATCCAGAAGAGATGTACTAAACACCCATGTTCCCAAAGGACTTTCCAGGTTCAGGCTCTGGAGTGGGGCTGCCTGGGTTTGAAGCCCAGCTCTCTGTTCTACTCGCGCTCCTGGTGCCTGACCCTCTGGGTCTCAGTTTCCCCACTCGGAAAAGGGGCGATGCGTGTTCCCTCTGCCCAGGGCAGCTGTGGAGACAGCAGATCCTGCTCAGGAAGTGCAGGCGTAGGGCCCGCCATGACGAACCACAGTCCTGTCACCGGCTCAGTTCCGGGGTCTCCCTCCATCCCACAGAGCCAGGCAGCACGCGTGGAGGGCATGGCAGGTTTTTAAAAACCTCCCGTTAAGTCTGAAGGGGTGGGGTGTTCGGGAAACTATCCTTGAGTACCTCTGTAGGAACCCGAGCTCAAGACCGCAGGGGCCAGGGAGCATGGTGACACCGTGGGTCTGACCCTTAGCCTTGTGAAACTAGCCTGGAAAGGCCACACGCTGGCTTGGCCACACTCCAGTCTGCAACCTTATGCCCTTATCCAGGAAGGGTCCCCACTGTACCTGCCCGCCCCTCTGCAAGTGACACATGACTTTTGGCCAAGGGTAACCAAAGGCAACCCAATCCTCCTGCTCCGGTGAGGCCACCAGGGCTGGGGTGAGTGGCAGACTTACGTCACTGGCCAGCCTCTCATAATCTTCCATGAGGTGCTCATTCTCCTGGTTGACGGCCAGCACCTTGCAGATCCGGTTGGCAGCGGTCTCAGCCTGGGGCAGGGGAAGCGTCCTGGTCAGGGGCGCCTGGGGGCTAGTGACCCTCCCTCCTGACAGGCTCGTCCCCTGAAAGCTGGCCCATCCACAGCCCACACAGCACTCCCCGAAGAAGGAAGAAGAGAAGCACAGCTCCAGCAAGATGGCACCCAGAGTAGCTGTGTCCTGATGGGTTTGCCGGCGTCCCCACAGCTTACTGCTAAGGTACCCCCACCGCCCCTGCCAGAAGGTTGGGCCCCTTGGCCTGGACCCTGGAGGTGCTGAAGGGGTCAGGGAGCCCTGCCACTATGGGGGAAATGGATTAACAGGCCCATGGAGAGGAAGGCCGAGGAGTGAGGCTGGGTGGGGTCCTCCACTAGGCCAATCCCTGAAGGAGTCTCCCCCTAGGCGGGAAGGTCTGCGGTGGAGAGACCAAGCGCCAAAGGGCTGTGGTGGAAGGTGGAGGTGCTGGTGCCCCCAGAGAAGTCTGCGCACAGCCGCAAAGCACACGTGTCCCCTTCTTAATCCTCCCCTTCGGAGGTGGGTGTGGATGGTTTGTTGGGCAGAAGTCACAATCCACGGGGCAGAAGGCAACGGTGGAGACTGTGACCAGTCTCTGCTCAGAACTATGGGACAATGTGCTGCCTTGTCCTGCTGGGGCGGAAATGCAAGGAGTGGAGAAGGAGAGCGAGGGGTGCCACACGGGGAGAGGAGAGGCCAGGTACCTTTCAGGAAGCACAGAAAGGGTCCAAGAGGAGAAGTTGAAACGGCAACAGAACAGGAACAGAAAGAGTGAGGAGGGTCTACGGAGTGGTGGGGAAGGAAAACAGAGAGGCTTGGGGATGGCTCCAGACCCGCTAGCCACAGGCACCGACGCCCAGCCGCTCCCATCCACACGCTGCTTCTGGGACAGGCGGGGAGGTGAGGGGGGCCAGCTGGGATTGGTGTGCGCACACACGTGGACACACATGCACACACCGCTCATCACACTGCAGGGCACGCACCGACGGCTCCAGGCACTGCTCCTCAGAGATGACGCTCATGAGGGCCTCGGCCAAGTGAGTGCCGGAAGCAGAACTAAGGTCCCAGCTTGGGGGGCGGGGGTGTCGCGGAGGTCAGTCCCTGACCCCTGCCTGACTTGGAGAGACAACAGGCACCCCGTGCTCAGATCCACCCGTGAAGGCGGGAGCTGCTAGTCAGAGGTGCTCTGCTTCACCGCTGACTTCCTGGCACCCCACTCAGGGCTCGGTAGGTTTTAGGTACGCAGAGTTGATGAATGAAGGAGCGAACAAAGGAATAAGGAGCAAATGCTTAGTGACCGGAAATAAACGATCAGGAGAGAACGGGCATACTTCCTGCGAGGTCTGGAGTTCGCCCTGCGCTTGTAAAATAAAACAAATGCCAGAGAGCACTCCTCCAAGAGGCTGGCCTGAGTCTCTGAGGACAAAGAGCAGCACTAATAAAAGCATCGCAGGGCTGTCTTGAGAAGTAAACACGGGCTAGGGGAAGCTGGACCCACAGCTGGAGAACCCTGAGTGCGGCACATCCCTGGTGAACGGGCAGCTCCCAGTAGCCTGGCCTTTCCTTCCTCTCTCACAAGAGGGACCCAGCTGACTCAAACCCCCAAATGCTCTGGCCTGAGCTCTCCTGCTGCTATTTGCTCCCACAAATCCCTCAAGGCCTCCCAGCCTCCACCACAGCGGAGGCCAGCGCTACGCCCAGGAGGGCAGTTTGGGCAAGAGAGGGTGACGTGGTGGGCAGTGAGGCTTGCTTGGGCCTGTGGAGCGGTGAGTCCAGTGGCAAATGTGCTGCAAGTCGGGTTGGGTCCGAGTCCAGGAATCTTCCACTGCTGCCCGCCCCACACCCCTGCTCTCCCTGCCTGTGCCCCCCCAAGCAGAACTCTGCAAACACAAGCTCCAGCCACGTGCTGAATGGGCGGGGAGAGGCCACAGGGCTTGAAGGATCACCGTGGACAAGAGCACGCCCCACAGGCTGCTCCGACCACCTGATCTCTGACTGAGCACTTACAGGGCTCGGCGCTGTTCTAAATGAAACCCTTCACCTACTTGAGTTCATTTCATCCTTGGGACAATCCTGAGAAAGGAACAGGTAGGATCCCTGTTTTACAGATGGGGAGACTGAGGGGAAGGGACTCATCTGAGGTCACACTGCTGAGAGGTGACAGAGCAGAGACCAGGGCAGATGGCCAACAGAGGGCCCCTGCTGGCCCCGAGGAAGGTGCTCCACAGGAGACAGCAGGCGCAGTCCCGGTCCTGTGACTCTGGGAACAGCTCCCCACCTCTCTGAACTCTGGTTTCCTCCTCTGTTACAAGAAGGTAACGGCACCCACCCTCTTGGGGTGTCTGGGACTCTCCTGGAACCTGTACACGCAGAGTTGTTGGAGGACTGCCCAGCAAGTAGTAAGTCCTCAATTAACAAGAGCTGGTTTCTCCTCCCCTGCCCTGCCCACTTCTAACTGGTGACATGAAATCAAGTCACCGCGAGTTACACTGCTGCCCAAGAGACTGGGAGGCAGGTGGAGGGGACAAAGGTGCCCAGGGCTCCAGGCAGGGTCTCTCTCCCCAGGGCCAGCCGGGCGCCTTCTCGTGGAAGCGGACCACTGCCACTAGGCACAGACACGCCTGAGTGTGCTGTGTCCGCGGCCCTGCTGGGGATGGGGGCCCGGTGGGCTGGGTGGGCTCGGTCGGCGGGTGCAGGCCCAGAGAGGAGTGAACCTGCTCAGGCCAAGCCTTTCCTGCAGCGTCCGGGAGGGGAAGGAGCCGTGAAGAGGGCAAGAAAGGCCAGTGCTCCCCAGTGAGAGCGTGCAGCCAGCTCAGCGGGCAAGCGGCCAGGCGCGGGTCACAGAAAGAAGGGCAGGGCGACCAGCGGCCAGGAGCATGAGTGCCCACCGCAGCTCTGAGACACCAGGACGCCACCACCATCCTCACGGGGTGGGCTATGTTCACAGAGAATATCCGTGGTGTGTCGGCACCAGAGGCCACGGTCACGAGAACCGTCCGTCCTCACACTGGGGTGGCCTGTGAGGTGGCCTGGGCAGGGCTCCAACCACAAATGGGTGGTGGGGACTTGAGGGGGACAGCAAGGGCAAGGCTCCGGCCACAGCAGTGAGGGGCGCTCCCGCCCCAGCTCACCTTTTGAGCCCCCGAGAAAGCGTGGTAGAAGCAGGACACGTAAGTCATGATGGCTTTCTCATCTGGCCTCAGAGTGCCTACAATATCTGCGCAGAGAGAGAGAGAAAGAGAGAGAGAGAGGCAGGAGAGAGTGACAGCTGCAGGGAGGGCGGCCGGGGCCGGGCCCGAGGCTCATGCGGGAGGAATAGCGCTTGCTCTGGACTGGAAGCCAAACCCCGGCTCCGGCAGTGTGGGCACATTTCGCGGGGGTTTTGTAGGGGGCAAAGGGGCAAGTCCAAATCGATGGATCCCTCTTCTAACCAGAGCTGGGTCTCTTGACACTGGCTACTGGCTTTGGAGAGGAAGCCTTGGATAGGGCCAGAAGGGTAAAAGCTAACCAATGTTTCTGAACATATCAGTGAGATCATGTCTTATGTAACCAGCTACCACCCTAGGACAGACCGCCAAATGGTCTCCAGGGGCCCGGAGAATAAAACTCCTGATCCCTCACTATTGTGATTCTACACATCTTGGCCCTGTTACCATCTCCAACCTCATTTTTCTCTTCTCGGCTATTCCTGGAATAAGCCAAGCTCATTTCTGCCGCCAGACCTTTGCACCTTGCTCTACCATCTGCCTGGGATGCTGTTCCTACTGATCTTCATCCAGCAGCTCCTGCTCATCATGGCAGGTGCCTGCGCAGGTCAGCCTGCGGAAGTCTCCCACCATCCTGCCCCATGTTCTCTACTGTGCTCATCACCACGTGAAACGACTTGATCTGTGGCCACGCCTGTCGCCTGTCTCGCCCACTGGCATGTCAGCTCCATGAGATCAGGGATCCTGCCTTAGTCCCTACTGTATGCCCCATGCCTAGAACAGAGTCTGGCCCAGACTGGGCACTCAACAGACACCGTGAGCAAAGACTACAACATGGGCAGGGCCGCCTGGAGTCGGGGGGGCGGCTTCCAGTCGGAGAGAGGCCACTGCCGTCTGCAAGAGAAATGAGGTGAGCGTGGGAGGCGAGAGGCAGCAGCGGCATTGGGCAGTGGCGGCGAGGTGGGCCTGCCTGGCCCTGCCCGGTACCTTCTGCGCTCCCGAAAAGGCATGGTAGAAGCTGGACACATAGGTCATTATGGCCTTCTCGTCGGGCCGGGCCGTGTTCACGATGTCTGTAAGTGAACGACAAGGGTTAAACCGCCCAAGTAGGGGCGGGCAGGGGTGGGGGGTCGCTCACTGGGATCCAAAGTCTCCCAAGGCCACAGGCATCCCAGGAGAAGGACCCTCAGAATGGATTCAGTGACCCCTGGTGACTCCAGTGGGCTTGTCCACACCCTTGGCCCCTCCATCCCCTGTGGTCTCGAGAAAGGCCAAGGCTGTGGGAACTGGATTAGAATGAGGCCACTTCCTCTTTCTGAGAATGGCCTCAAGGGGCTGCTGGACAGTCAGCCCCAGGGGCCACCAGAGGCCAGAGCCATGGGTCCTGGTTGGGGGCGGTGCACGGCTGGGAAATGGGAGAAAAGCCGGAAAAGGAAAAAACAAACACTCCCTTTTATGGGCTCCAAACTCCGAGCCTGGGGCAAGCAGGGAAGGCAGCCGCCTTGGCTGTCTGCAGGAGCCAGCCCTCCCTGGCCACCTGGCCTGCTCACCCCGAGAGAGGGGCAGGACTCGGGCAGGACTCAGGCAGGGCTCTGGCAGGACACTTATGCGGCCCCCAGAACCTATCCTCTTCAAGCCCCTCCTTTCCCGGCTTGCCCATCCCTCCCTGAGCCTGCCTCGTCTGCTCAGACTGCTCCCGCTCTGGCTCGGGGGCAGGACTGCTGTCCCTGGTTCGACCAGCTTCATTCAGCCTTCTCACTGGCACGGCCAGCTCCCTCAAGTTACCGCAAGACATGCCCGCAGAACAGGGCAGTGATGGAACAAAAGGGATGTACTTACCCTCCGCATCCAACATCTTGGGGATGTCTAGGTATTTCTCGGCCACTTCGAAGGCATTGTTCAGGTTGGTGACAGGGTCGTCCTGGGGGAAAGAGGAAGAACTGTGAGGGGCAGGACCAGAAAGCGCTCTTCAGGCAGTTCTCAGCCCCGTGTGCTGCGGTGGGGACTGAAGGGTGGGACACTCAGATAGTCTATTCCCACCCAAAGGAAGGCCTCTGGAAATCTTCGTGGGGCAAACTGTTGACTTTTTCTCCTGAGAAAATGCGGCTGGGCTCTTTTCTTACACTTTCCAGCCCTCCAGACCCCAGATTAAGACCTCCATCCTGAAACCTGGAAAGTGGGGTCCAGACCAGGCACTGGGGGCGGGGGGGGGGCAGTGACGGGGAGGGGGTAAACCGAGCTTCCGAGGTCCAGCCTTCCCGAAGCATCCCTTCACACTTGTCTCCCCACTGTCCACAGAATTCAAGACCCTCCCTCATGTGCCTTAGTCCATGTCCAGCTAGAGCCCAATCCAATTGCTCAGCGGGGCTTAAACAGGCCAAATGCAGGCTCGTGCCCCACCCCCTCACTGGGAATGCACCCCCCCCCAGGGGCCCTTCCCCAACCGTGCCAGCTCAGGTGCATCCATCCTCCGATTTGTCTGGCCCTACCCCCTTCCCACCCCCATTCAGCCTGAGCACACGTGCATGGCCTTGTGGGGCAGGTTTCCTCTGGACACATTATCCTGTCTTCTCCACTGGTTGGGAGCTCCTAGAGGGCAGGGCCTTGGTCTTACGGGATCGTAAGCTTTGTACAGGCAAATCAGAACAGGCCCCTACACGGGAAACACCTGCCAGCGGTGATGGTCTGGAATTCCTTACCCCTCTCCTCCCTTAGGTGGAGAGAAAATGCTTCCAGAAGCTAAAAGGTTAAGGTAGGGGAGCTGGAAGGCATGGCTGGCCAGGCCCTATAATAACCATGGGCAGTTGCAATGCCCATAAAGGGAAAAGGGGACAGTCCCCAAGGGGAGCAAGGGAGGTCAGAACCAGCCACGGAGCCTAGGGTCTGGTGACCACTGGTACAAGGCTCTCCCAGCCTGCCCATCTGAGTGCAGAATCCAGCTGAGGACGCCAGCTATGGACATGCTTGGGGGAGGTGACCCAGCATCAGGGTCAGGGTCAGACTCTGTGGATCTCTGGGCCACTGAGGGCAACAGCAAGAGGCAAACCTTTCTCAGCTTGTCATACTCGATCAGCTCTGGTCGGTGCCGGTGGATCAGTGCATTGAAGGCAAGACCGTCCTTCCAGCTGGGGATGGAAAGGCGAAGGTGAACGGGAGGGCCCTCTCACCATCCCGCAAGCGCTGGTGGCCCGGACGCCCACGGGAAGGACTAATTCCCATTTAACAGGGTAGGGGGTGTGCTGGGCACTGCACGCAGACAGCAGGGTGGAGCGGCCGGAGGTGGACGGCCTGCGGTGAAATCCCAGCTCTGACTTGCTGTCAGCGCGACCTTGGGCAAGTCTCATCACCTCTTGCTCTCTCAGTTTCCGTGTCTGTAGAGTGGGGTAGTAACAGTACCTACGCCCTGCTGGGGGGTTGTGAGGATGAAAGGAGGGAATACGTGTCATCACTTCGACCAGCCCGACACGTGACAAGTCCTTTATGAGCGAGGGCTCACCTCTGGGACAGTGTGACCCCCCTGAATGGGACAGCCTGCGGCGGAGGGAGACGGCCCACTGCAGGACTTCCGCCTCGGGGCGGCGAGGGGAGGGGGCAGGCTGCAGAGCTCTGGCTGGGCGCTCACCTGATGTGGAAGTTCTGCACGTTGACATTCTTATACGGGGCAGTCTTCCTCTGACACCACAGAAGTAGCCCTTCCTTGGCAGAGGTCTCTGAGGAACACACGAGGGCGGTGAGCAGGGGCTCAAAGCCCAACGTTGAGCACCCAGCCCCATGCCGTGATATTCTGGGCTCGAGCACAGGAGTCGGACTGAGAACAGCACAGCCGGGAGTAAGGGGTGCTCCTGTTCCAGATGCCGCAGGCCTCTGCTGGTCCTAACCACCGGCCCGCACACACGCACAGCCCCGAGACACCACCTGCCCAGGGTCCTCCCAGGAAGTGGCAGTGCCAGGGCCGCACCAGGACCTAAGACCATGCCATGCTTCTGACCACAAAGCCTATGCCTTTATCTGCCAGATCACGCTGCCAAACAAGCCCCGGATGCTGGCCTCGGCCTCTTCTGAACAGTGAAGGATCAGCAGAGAGTCTGGAGTGCTGGGCCCGGCCCGCTCGGTGGCAGCCTCAGCGAAGTGGAGTGGGAGGGGCCCAGGTTGTCTGTCTGTTCCCCAGGGAGAGTCTGGGGGTGCTGGGGGCAGGGGACACGTCTGTGCCGGTCACTGCTATGGCCTACTGCAGGAATCCCCTTCACGTGCTGGCACACCCAACTGTTTGGAGGGGAAGTGAAGCAGCTCACTCCTGGCTGGCCTGGACCTCGGGTCATGGAGGCGAAGGTCGGAGGGTGGGGGTGTCAAGCGGAAACACTGGTAGGTACTGATGCGCGGGAGAACCAGGCCAGGCCTGACTCCGTCACTACTTTGCTCTGTGACTCAGATTCCTCGACTGTAAAATGGGGCCAATCGTGCCCATTTGACGAGCATCGGGTGAGGGTCCACGGAGATGGAGACCACGGGAGCTGAAGGGTTCTGGGTGGATACCAGAGCTGGGCAGCTGCTAGGGCCCCCCTCACCTGCAGCCTGGGCCAGCATCTCACTAACCACTCTTGCACAGGGCTGGGCCCTGGGAGGGAGGCTGGGGAACAGGGCAGAGCCTCAAGCAGGAAGACAAAACCCCAACATTGTAATCTAACTCGCTCCAACCTGGGTGGAAGCAGGGTGGGGAAGAAAGGCTGTCCTCTGCCAGTCCGCAGGCTCTCACCTTCCACAGAGATGTCCTGGATGGCGAACCTGAGGATGATGGTCCAGATCATTCCCAGGGTCATCTTTGCATTGCCGTCCACAATCTCTGCATGCAGAGAAGGGGGCAGAGGATGAGAAGGTTGTTAAAACCAGAGGGAACTCCCGCTGGCTCTGCGTAGAGATGAGCTCTGATCATCCGACGGGAGCTACCCAGGCCTGTCGGCCACCCTCACTGGGAGATGTCGCCTGAATGCTGGGATGCACCGTCCCCAAAGCGTTCTGCCGCCTGGTACCCGCAGGCCTCTTCCCGCCTGGCCAGCTCGAGCCTGCGCCTCCCTGAGGCTTGTCCCCGGCGCAGGGCCGGCACTCCCAGCCGTCCGTCTGCGCCTCCCTCACGCCGTTACAGGCGCGTCTCCCCGCCGGCACGTGCGTCCTGTACTACTGTCTGTTGACAATCTGTCCGCTTCCTTCCACCCTTGTCCGGGCCACCGTGGTCTCCCCCAGAGCTGGACACCCCGCCGCCTCTGTGCCCCGTGCGCTGCACCTCCACACAGCTGCCAGGGTGCTCACTTTAAAAGATGCATCAGATGTGTGCCGCTCGCCTGCTTAAAGCCCCACCACATCTAAGACGAAACCTGCACTCCCCAATCCCACTTACGAGCCCTGCCCTGGGGGACCCAGCCCCTCGCTCCCCAGCACACTCTGGCTGGGTCCTTTCGGCAAGCCAGGTTCCTCCTTGCTGGAAGGACCTCACACCTTCCGTCCGCCCACGAAGTGCACCCCTCGGCCCTTCCCTCAGACGGCCGTCCTTCCCATCCTAGAAGCCTCTGCCGTCACATCTCCTGGGATGGCTTCCCCAACTGCCCATCTGTAGGCGCTGGCCCGGTGCCTCTCCCCAGCAGCCTGCTCTCCCCCTCGCACACTGACCACCATTTGTAACCACGCATTTGCTGGTTCACTTGCTCGCGGCCCGCCTTCGTGAGCACCACTGGGTCCCCAGTCCCCGCCCGTTTGGAAGCTACGAGGCTGCAGGGCAGGGCCAGCAGGGACGCAGGCCCAGCTGGTAAGGCACACACTTCCTTAACTAACCAAAAACCCGCTACGGTCTCCAACTTCTGGGAGTGAGAGAGAAGGGTCTGCACCACACATTCTTCAGCTTTGGGCGCTTAGAGAGAAGTCCTCTCTGCAACACTCAGGGCACCACGTGTCTCGTGCTGGGTAAGAGAAGTGAGGGCAAGTGGCCTCATCCCTGAGTCCGTCGGCCAGATGGGCCACGGCAGTCCTCTGAAACCCTTCTGCTCCCCGCCGTCCCCCAAGATCTCAGTGCAGCAGGTGCGGGGAGAGACACTGCCCACTGACCCTCGAGAACAGGACACTCTAGAAAGGGCTTGATTTGGACAGGAGGTAGAGCAGTCACCCAAAGGAGGGGGCTGAACCTTCCCCAAGGGCACACTCGGGAAGGAAAGGTGGGCACTTGTGAGCCACCATGGAGACGCTCCCCACAGCCAAGCCACGCGGGCTGATGGAGACGGCAGCTTTCAGCTTAGAGTGTCAGGATAAGGAAACGTGCGTAGCCGGCTGGCTGGAGGCAGGGGGAAGGACACAATGTCTGTCAGGCCCTTTCCCAGGGTTAAGAAGCCCAGACCCAGAAACCAGGCCGAGTCTTCCCAGCCCAGGGCAAGGGCAGCCATCCAATCAGGAAATCTACGTTCCTCCCAAACGCCGGGCACTCCACAGCAGGGGGATGGATACGGTCTGGGGAGGAGGCCGCGGCTCCCTTACCCGGCCAGCTGCACAAGGAAGCTGGTCACGGGGGGCTTACGGAGTTCCTGTGGGGGGAGCTGGGGGGAGACAGCTTCTCTTGTGACACTTGCACCAGCTGCATCTCGGACCCACAGCTGTGCCCCTACGAGGAAGCCAGGTTTCAGCTACGGTCCGGACCACGTGGAGGGTAGGGTGACGGGGGCGGGGCAGGGGGCTAGGCTTTCAGGTATTCTGGAGCCCCTGGGGCGCCTCTAGTGGGCTGCCTTCCAGCTTTGCCCTAGGGCCCAGCGGTCACAGAGACTGGGAGTGAACCAAGTTGGGCATTAAGAGAGAACATTTCTAGATGGAGTTTTTCTTCAAATGAAAACTGATGAGTGCCACCAGGTCTCTCCTCTAACCCCTTCTGTATTTACAGGCTAGCATTTGAGCAAAATAAATGCAGCTGTGAGAGGCAGAAAGATGGCGCAGAGCCAGGATGAAAGATACATGTAAGAACAGAAAATGTGAGGGCCCAACTGATTTTGGGGGTTTTGATTTTTTTTTTAAACAAACACCAACCACCTCAACCAGGGCATGTGACGCTTGGTACCCCTCCCGGAGAGGTCCCGGGCGGGGGCAGAGCCTTGGAACTCAGCACACACACTCTGGCCTAGAGTCTTGGCCAAACTCTCAGAGCCCTGTCATTAACAGCAATGAGTTGTTTTTGTTTTTCTAAAAGCTGGGACAACATGGGTGTCAGGGTGTAGGAAATCCTGCTCTAATGAGCTGAACTGTGAGCACGAGCTGATGGGGGAGCTTCTGCGCTCCATCAGGCCTCGCCTCATCTCCAAAAGCTCTGTGAGCTCAAGACGAGCTGGCTGGGGGAGGGACAGCATGTTGTTGCTCTAGTGGGAGGATCTACAAGGAAGGGTCGCGGTCCTGGGCATCCCCACGGGGCACAGAGGGTCCTGGGTGTCCCGTCAGAGGCCACACTCCCTTGGGCCGTGTGGCCAGCAAGGTCTCGTCACTGACCTTTGCACTTGCACCCCCAGCCCAGAGCCCTGACACTAGGGGGGTGTCCTTCTCTTCTCTGCATCCTTCCTGCCCACAGATACCAGGCAGGACCAAAGGGCCAAGGTGCTCCAGGCACAGAGAGATGCCTGGCCACGTGTCTGCTGGTGTCTCTGGGGCCCAGCACAAGGAGGGCGAGTGAGGGTATCCAGGGTCCAAGTCAAAGCCATTCCTGCCGTGCAGAAGAGGCCTGCCCTACATGACAGGGGTCATGGATTCCCGAGTCCTGGATGGATTATTCTGCAGGTGGGGGGTGGGGGAAGTTGTGGGTTCAATGATCACATCGAGAAGACAGTCACTGTGGTCACTGCAGATATATATTGGAGCTTTACACACCCCAAGTGCTCTTTCTGCCACCCACGCAAGTTCTGTTCAGAACACAGAGCTCGGGGCTCAGAGCCTACAGGTCAGGAACCAAGCCGCCCCATCCGAGCTCACCTTCCGCCCCGATGGAGACCAGCTTGACTCCTTTGCTGGCGATGAAGTCCAGAGCTTTGTTCACATTGTTGATTTTGTGTACTCTCATCTTGCCCCGCTCCGGCTTAGGTAACCGCTCTCCTGAGAGTCACACACCGAGAAAGAGAAGCTTTAGTGACCCCACTGCTCTCCAGAACCGGCCGCCACGGTGCTCTGCCCCCCAAGCCGCCCCCAGGCCAGCACCCAGACACACTGCCGTGACTCAAGCCCCACGCTCCCCCTAGCAGGCATGGGACTGCTGGGGTGGGCCATGTCCCTGGGACCTGCGACAGCCCACCTGTTCCACGTGTGGGTTGTCCTGTGATGGAAAGGGGCCTCACCTGAGATGACCTCCAGAAGGAGCATGAGCTTGAGCCCGTCTCGAAAGTCCTCGTCAATGTTCTCGATCTGCGTGCCGGCCTTCCGAAGGTGGGAGTTGCACCAGGCTGTGAACGTCTGGGGAACGTGACAGAGACGCCTGGAGGGTCAGTGCGGCTGTTGGGGCTTTCTAGCAAAAGGGCCAGACACACAGTCCTGACCCTGGGACAACAGTGGCCACCACGCGGCCCTTGTACGCACTATTTCTGCTCTTTAAGCAACCCGGGCAAGTCGACCTGAGAAAACTGAGACTTAGGGTAAGTTAACAGACCCACTTGCACCATCAGCCAGGGGGTAAGTGGCAGAGGGTGGACGAGAACCCAGTCATGCAAATGTGACTGAGCGTGAGGCCCTGAGTATGGAAGCGAGACACAGGGTCTCTGCTCTCGGGGACCTTATGTTCTCCTGAACAGACACATCCAGCTCCCCCACCCCCACCCCCCGGCCGGCGGACAAGACCACAGGTCCCAGCCCCAGCCAGCACCAGCTTCCTTGCCCTTCAGGTAGGAGCTCGGGCAGCACAGAGATGACCTGGGGCAGGAAAGCAGCTGGAAAATAAAAGCCTTCTGTAAATTCAAGGGTTCCTCACATGGGTCTCTCTCCGAGCTTTGGGTGGCCTGGCAGCGAGCACCTCCCCTAAAAGGCCAGGAGCACAGCTCCTCGGAGCCCTGTGCAAGCCTCGTTTGTTTCCCTGCAGGCCAGACACCCTCTATTCCCTGGAGAACATTCCACGTCCCACCCTTCCAAATCTTAAGGGAGCTTGAGGGGGCTGGAAGGCAAGTGGGAGGGAGGCAGCCACCCACCTCCCACCTGGGTTAGGCAGCCATCTCTGAGGAAGTTTCTGTGAAACACAGGGCATGCAGATGCTGGGAGGGGACAGGATGCTTTCGGGCAGAGAGGGCCACAAACAAGAAGCCCAAATCCCGTACACAGAATATGCAGCACAAGGCCCCAGTCACTCAGCCCGCCGCCGGCTCGGCATGTCAGCAGACATCAGCCCCCAGGACGCACGTCACATCAGTTAAAGATGGACGTGTCCAGACACCTTCTGGGGCAACTCAGCCTCCCACAGCAGGGTCTGGGAAAAATGCCACGCTTCTGTTTCTCACGGAGCCCCCATGCCCCGCCCCGTCCACCCCCGCCCCCTGCAGGGGCCAGCATGGATGTGGGCAGAGGGCCAGGGGCGCACAAGAGCACACTCCAGGCCCAGGCGCAGGCAGAGGCCATGTGGGGGGCAAGGGGCTGCCAGGGAGCCTCTGGCAGAGCACCATGTGTTTTGACAACTGTCACCACTCGTGCTCACTCAGAGACTCAACACAAGGCCCCTCCCAGACAAAGAAGCCGCCTAATTAATACGCTGCACCACAGTGAGGATGGGCACGAGGCTTCCCTCCAAACCCACACCCGAATGGTGGATGACTGTGGGTGGCCCAGGGCCCCCCATCCCACATGTCGCCAACTCGAAGAGTCCCTCTGCATGGGGCACACAGACCCCATCCTGTGTGAGGCTGTCCCTTCAGCTAAGGGTGCCTGGGCCCTGCTGCTGCCTCTCCTGAGCTGGCACCTACCGATCCCCCCAAATCAGCCTGAAGTGCCACTCCTTGGGGACACCACACTGGCTTGCTTGGCCCACCCCGATTCTGACCTGGATGTCCCGTCCTCTGTGCAGATCTCATCACAGAACCTTTCTCTCTGGGCTCTCACACTTGGGTGTTGTCCTCTGCCTCCCCACATGCATGAGCTCCGGCCACCAAGCTCACTGAGGAACACGGGAACGGGCCTTCCCACCCCATTTCCCAGCTCCCCCTATGCAACTCTCAAGTCAGACAAATGAGGGCTAGGCTGCTGCTTCTGCCACCCGTGCGGACACACCATCCGACCTTCCGAACACCACCTCCCCATCCATAACACAGTGAGTAGGACGGCACCCGAGTCATGGTCAGTGTGAGGGTTCACGATGGCGATGCCCACAGAGCACACGGCAGGTGCTCAATAAACAGCAGGTCCCGCTCATTGCTGGGCCGTCCCCGGATCTCCTCCTCTCCTGAAATCCTGCTGCCTCCTCCAGAGTGCCTTCTCCGTCCCCTGCCTACCCTGGCCACCACGCAGCCCTTGGCAGCTCTCAGCAGCATTCTCCAGTCATTCTGTGTCTTACTGGACGTCGCCTGCACGTGTGCAAGCTCCAGGGGTGTAGGGGTTCTGTCTCACATCCCACGTGCCATCAGAATGCCTAAGCCGCAGCCGGCCGCGGCGGTGGGCAGCGGGCAGGCATGCGACTCAACCGTCCTCCAAAGTGGCAGGCAGCAGCGGGCCGGGCTGGGGCAGGAGGCGGCCGGGAACACCGGGCCTCTGCTCGTGCTTGTACCTGTAAGATGCTGGCGAGCAGCAAAGCGACCAATCACATGCCGAGGCTGAGGACCTAAGAGGGTGATTCCCAGAGGCCAAGCCCCTCAGGGCTCTGGTGCTGTCAGGGCCAACATCTAGGCCCCTGGTCTGCAAGGCGGGGCCAGGAACATGTCTAAATGGCAGCTCTCATCACCTTGGCCTGCCTGGGTTATGCCCACGCGCTCTCAAAGGGCATAGGTTCGGGTTCCAATGCCAGCTCCTCGACCTCCTTACGTTTCAGTTTCCTTCTTTGTAGGATGGACTTAGCAGAACCTACCTCCTGTAGTTGCTGTAAGGATTAAGTGGGGGAGATGCTTTAAAGCACCCAACGCGCTGCCTGGCATAAAGTAAATGCTGGATGAATTGGCTGCCTCCCTCTCTGCAAAGGCCCTCACCCTCACCCCAGCCCCATGGTTTGCAGCGGAAATGAAACTGCAGGAGACCCTCTTCCTGTGGAGGCTGTGAACAAATCTCGCCTCATCGGGTTCAGGCTATCCGTCTTCACAAGGTCACTGTGCTATCTGCCCTCCAAACGTGCACCCCATCCTTTGCTCATCTTCTGTGGGGAGCACACAGACCCGGGTCAAAATCTTGCCGCCGCCAGGGAGGCAACCCGCCAGCAGGAGAACCCTGGGCGAGCAATGAGCCTCAGATTCTTCAATGATGAAACAGGGACAGCAATCTCTCCTCTTAAGTGAAGAGTAAACAAAATAATTCAAGTAAATCACTTAGGACTGTGCCTGGCACAGATGAAGTAAGCGCTCAGCGTTATACATATGTCAAAGAAAAATCTATTTTCAAATAAATGGTAACTATGTATTGTGTACTTCTGTCTCCCTAGCTGCAAGCAGGCAGAGTCCTAAGCAGAGCACAGAGCAGGTGCTGGGGAGAATATCCACCTGCCCACCTAGGAGCTGAGAAGGCTCCTGAATCTGCCACAGACAGAACACAAACCCTGCTGACAGGCTGCCCACCCTCCCACTCCATGCCCTGCTTGACTCTGTTTCCTCCTTCTGGAAGATGAGGGGCACGTACTGACAACCAGAGGCTCATGGACAGGGAGAGCAGGACATCGTAAGGCCATCCTCAGGGAACAAGGCCACCACAGATAGCCACTTCTTCAAGCAGTGACTGGTGAGGTGGAGCTGGAATTCGAAAGGGACATTAAAAATTCAGTTTTTTCTAGCTGGTTACGAGAATAACTCTCTACTTATACACTTCTTCTCCCTACCCGGTTTAGACGAGGATGTGTGAGGTGGATAGTGCGGAGGGGTGGTTTCAATAGATAGAGGCCTTGTGCGCCCACCACACCACTCTCTGCTCTGCACAATTCTCAGAGCATGAGTTACAGAGCCCAACCACCGACAGGTCCCAACGCTCCGCGATGCCCAGGGCCCATGGGGTTAGAATACGTCCATTCCCTAGACAGGCATTTGCTGGGTGTCAACCCCGGGCCAGGTCCTGGGCCGAGGACCCAGGCGTGAGCAACCGTGGACGCAGCCTGCACAGTCATGGGGCGCCTGGTCTGAACAGGGAGAGGGTCTCAAGCAACTCAACTACAGAAGCAACACGCACAGGGGAAGTGGTAAGAGTTACAACAGGAGTGGACACCTCCATGGAGCTCACTGTGTGCTGAGCGCCATGTCACGTACTAACTTCTCATATCTTCAAAACTATCTCGTGAGGTAGCTGCCACTGTTGCCCCATTTTACAGATGAGGAAACCGGGGGTCTGAGAGGTGTCGTGACTCGACCACAGGTAGTCACGCACCTGGAAAGTTACAGAGCTGGACTCTGGTGCTCGGAGCTCCAGAGGCCCCACTCTGAGGGGTCAGGCATGTGCCCTCCTCCCCGCTGCCCCCCCAGAAAGGGAGCTGAAGAGTGTTCAACATGCTAGCTCCTGATCTAATGGCAAGCGCAGACACGGGGAAGTTTCCCTAAGGAGGTGATTCTCAGACTCTGATATGACAGAGAAAGAGTGAAGACAAAAATAAGGGATATTTTCCAGATAACAGGAACAGCATATGCAAAGGCCCTCCAGCAGGTCGGAGGGAAGGAACGGAGTGAGGCAGAGTGAGCTGTAGCAGGAGGCCGGCGGGGCCTACCTCACGGGGCTGGGGAAGGTCACTGGCGGCTGCCGTGTGAGGGCAGAGCTGAAGGGGGCAAGGGTCGATGCACAAGGACCAGGAAGAAGAGAGTAAAAAGCCTCTGAGAGA